ATCCAGGTGGTAATCCTGTAGAATAATCTTGGTGGTAATTCAGTAAAATAATCTAGGTGGTAATCCAGTAGAATGATCTAGGTGATAATCCTGTAGAATAATCTTGGTGGTAATTCAGTAAAATAATCTAGGTGGTAATCCAGTAGAATGATCTTGGTGGTAATCCAGTAGAATGATCTTGGTGGTAATCCTGTAGAATGATCTTGATGGTAATCCATTAGAATGATTTTGGTGGTAATTCAGTAAAATAATCTAGGTGGTAATCCAGTAGAATGATCCAGGTGGTAATCCTGTGGAATAATCCAGGTGGTAATCCTGTAGAATGATCCAGGTGGTAATCCTGTAGAATGATCTTGATGTAATCCAGTAGATTGATTTTGGTGGTAATTCAGTAAAATAATCTAGGTGGTAATCCGGTTAATTAATCTAGGTGGTAATCCAGTAAAATAATTAGGTGGTAATCCAGTAGAATGATCTTGGTTTACCAATCGATCAACAATATGGTTACTCTGTTGCAGGAATACTATCCAACTCATTCTAAAAGATTCCAACAAGGTCATTCATGTCTGTGTTGAAATGATTTAGCATATCAAGTTTGATAAAAACACAAGGATTTTTCAAGATTTTTAATCTTTCAGAAAAATTTTCTTCAGTGAAAATATGTCAATCCCCTCAATTTGTGTAAACCATTATCTTAGAAATAGACAGCTAAAAGAGTTAGATATTAGACCATTTGACATTCGTTTTCTATCACTGATTTTATCAGTTTTTATAGACTTGGTAATTAAAGAGATAACTTTGGTTGAATTTTTATCATAGTCTTATCAAACATTCTTACTCATGATAATGAAATATAGCTCAGTTCAGAGCCATTGATTTTGTCAGGACGGCACTTCTTTATTACTTGATCTGAGGCTTATGGAACCTGAGGTTGACTTGGAAACTAGGAGAATGTGAGAGCATATGAATTATCAACTTTTTAGTTAACCTGATAGAACTGTAAAATATTAAATCCACTAAATCTTGTTATTGTTGATTATGGTGGGTTGAGATGCAGTGAAATACCAGTCAGCTCTTATTGCCTTTTTTTGGCTATGTATTTCTACTATGATATATGACAGTATTGAGTAACTGTGTCTTTCTCAATATGATAAGAATGTCAATATTGAGATTCCAGCTGAAACTATTATCTCCATTTTATCAGCTAATACCATGTAAAGTAGGATTGATCTTAATGGAATGATCTTGACCCACTGAAATGATGATGATGATATCAAATCCTATTTTTCCTGATTTTTGAATTCAGAAAACTATCATTTTAAGGACATGTTGAAATAGATAAGCTCTGATTTGGATTGTGATATATAATACCACCCAATGTATGTACAGCATGAAACTCCTAGAAACAAAATTTTATAGGATTTCTCCCAGAGACAAAACATTAACTTGGAGATAAATCATTGCTCTTGGTAAATTGTTGAAATGGCCTGTGTAAAATATATTACTTGTGACATTAAGTTACGTTCAGTCTAGAGATTTAGATTAAATAATTTGTCTGAATATTAGTTAGAGAGTCTTCTTCTAATTGGGTTTAAACACCACTTCATTCTGCTTCAAATATTTTTTGTGTTTATTGCTAATGGCTGATAAAAGTTTTCAATTTCTTGTAAGATAAATCACATAATAGGGAAAAAATATATTTAGTGACTTTGAATTCTAGCTAAATGTAGAATATTATGTTACAGATTATTTATGATATAGAAGGAATTCCTTTTGGGCTTTTAAAATTCAATTTAGGAGATTGACAGCTTGATTGAGTCAATTTAATTGAAAATCTGGAAAAAGCTACAGAAGACACATAATTTAAATTGCAAAATTTTGAAAGAATTCAGGAAAATTTTTTTATATGTTGGAAGTAATTGAAATGTGTTGAATGGTTTCCTAGTGGGAAATTTTACCATGTAATTTAATAGGTTTCAGGAATCAATTAAAAGAGATCAAGTAGTTTTATCTGTCTCATTTTAAACTTCTACATTATTTCTTTTAACCTTATTTTATTAAGTCTGCTTCATTTTAAACTGATACTTTATTTTTCATGATGTGACAAAAGTTCATAGAGACTTTCCTTCAAAATTTTAGAAAACTTGTTTCTTATAGAATTGAAGGGAAGATTACCTTTTCCGCATTTCTGAATATGATTTTTGCCTTAGGCTACTAAAAGCCTAATCTGGTAGTATTGATAAATGATGATGGTGCTGAGTGAAGAGCACAATCCAATAATTCTGTTCTTGTATTGGCAGCATTGAATTTATTACAGCCTATTTTCTACTATAGTTGACGTAGACAAAAGATTTCTTGAGTTATTTTGCGATATTTCTCTTTAAATTTTAGAGGAACAATTATTATGCATGAGTTACCTGCAGTTTTTTTTTTTTAGAAATCTCTTTTTACAACTACACTGCATATTTATGTTTAAATAAGATGTTTCATATGATATCAATACATTATTGTACATATCTTATAATATCATAGAAGGTTATTAACCATCATGCCTACCTCGTACTTGATATTAAAGTGCCTCTTGAAACATAAAAATAGTTTACTCATTTAATAGTGGTGGAAAAGTGTCCACTGAGGTGCTGAATCTAACATTGGTATTTGTGCATATTTTTTTTTTAAAAATTCATATTTTAACAATTATTTATCTACAGCCCTCTACATGTAATAATTGTGTTCACATGGTTAGTATTCTATTTAATCTCCAGTGCTAACTCTCTTGCTGTTCACATTCACATCTCCAATGAGTATTGTTGACTTACTATTATTTGTGGTCCAATGTAAAATGACAGATTTATATTGAGTGTGTCAAGCTCTGATTCATGATAAATATGTCTGGTAAAAATGAATTACAGTATAATTGCATACTGGTAATTATAAATCATTATTAAATTGCTTCTTATATAGATATATTCTTAAGCTCACATGTAGTTCATGCTTTTCTTAACTATGTAAGTCTGAAACAATTAACAGTCTCTGATAGACACTCCTAGCTCTCTAAACATGACCATATGCCTTCAATGGGAATAAATTTGTTTTTTCAAATTTGAAGATCTTATGGGTGATTGATGGGAAACTTTCTTGTGGTTGATTGAATTCAGATCAAGATAGTTATAGTAAATGGATGACGTCTGGTTTCAGAATTAAAAAAATATAATAGATCAAGGTGTTATTGAAATGTAATCGATCTATCGGAAGTCATGATTAATATTGGAGATTGTACAAGTCATATTAAATTTTCTTTTATTAGTATAAATTGTTTATGAAGTTTTTAGCAAGGAATAATATCAGCTGCCGGATGTCCTGTCTCAAGATATAAAACTTCTGAGAGGTATATGGATAGTACTGTTGATAAATCTGTGCTGATATGGTCACATAGGATTGGAGTCGCAACATGACTTGTTAAATTGGATGTCTGTCAAAAAATTAGTTTAATAGTTAATGAAATTTGTAAAATGGTTGAAATAACAGAAGTGGTTGAATCAGGTTTTCTCTTCACTGTAGAATTAATATAATCTGATTTGTTGTTTTCAATTTTGTCAGAAGGATTTTATTCTGTGATCAAATTATAGTTGACGTGATTAAAAAGCGATCAAAGACTCTTTTGTGAAGGAAAGATGCTAAAGTGTGACTGTCAGCTTTGTGCAAGGTTTTTGATAAGAAGATTGAAAGCAGGATTAGTTTGTCTCAAGTTTTCAAATTGATTGAAGTAGGTCTAGATTGTTTATAACAGAATGTTAACAGTAGAATAGAAATGATAAACTTGTGATCAGGACTTTTTCAATCTTTGTGAACTTGGTTTATCATTCTCAGCCAAATGTACAAAAATGTGCTCATCCATTTGAATATTTTTTAAATATGTAGCCTACACATATATTGTGTCGTTGAAAAATTGCAACAATAAGTAATGTAAAATTTCAGAATATAAAGGTAATGCTCCTTAAAACATGAAAACATGAAATAGACTTCTTAAGAGTCTTAAGATTTTAAATTCTAAGAAAAGACTGAAAAAATTCAGTGCAGTTACGATTAACAGCAAACACTTAATCCAAATTACATGAGTTTTGAAATAATGGAACGGATATAAAAGGAAAGCTGTATAGTAAATTGGAACAAGATAATATGCTTGAAACAGCATTAAAGACTATATTCGTATTTCAAGAGAATCTTAAGTGATATTACCACCCCATTATTACAGCTATTTTCTTCTCTACACCAAATAATTATAGAATTATCACTGTGAAGAACTTCTCTCTATTTAATTTAAGTTGTTATAATGCAGATAGGTATAGCAAATCAATTTAAAGAGTGCTATTTCTAAATTAGGTTTGATAAAGAGAACTGGATGAGGTTAATGAATATTCTATAGATATTTTGGCGATCCAATATAAGAAAGATAAGCGCCTTTTCCAATACTAGCTGTCTTAATGAGGATTGAGTTGGAGCTTTTAGAAATAAGACTGATATTGACAATTTCATTTACAATTCAACACAAACAATGTTTATTCAGATCAAGGTTAAATCTCAACTATCATTGTCTCTTTATGCCAAGGATTGTTTGGTTATACATGTACAAGGTGTGTCTGAAAATATCCAGGGCTGATGTCACAAAATGTTTTACATTTAATTCAAACTACAAGTAATCCCTGTGGTGTCTAACACACTTTCCCATTCTCTGTCATGTTTGGATGCTTGATTGTTCATTTTTAATCAATATTATACTTTCATGATCAATTATTATAATGATTATTTCCTTTAAACTCTTCCTGTCTCCAATCATTGGAATGATTGTCCATTTATGAACTTTCACATGAGGAAATTCTACATGTTTTTGTCAAAGGTAAAATTTATTTTAAACTCGCATACAACAGTTTAGAACTATTTTGAGCACAGAGGAATGAATATCAAAGAAAATGATATACCAGAATTAAACCAAAACAAACATGTTACCAGATCACAACCAGTTTACTTATTCCATACAAAGACAAACATTTTATAAACATTTTATGGGTGTTATTGTGACTTTAGTAGAACTCAATTTAACAACCGATAAAGGTACAGAACATTTAATCACTAAACATAACTATTAATTCAGCTTCCAGATTTTGTATTACATGAAGTTTTGATGCGTATCCAGTGCAAGTTTTTCTGATGACAATGACAAAAGATCCAGGTACAATAATTTAACTAAAGCTGTGTCTTCATCATGCTTAAAGGGCAATGTCAGAATTCTTTATGTAAAAAAACAAGTTTATTTAGACAAGTAATTGACATGCGGTTAGTAAAATGATATAAAGGTGTTAAGTATGAATTAGGTTATATTTGTCAGAGATAAACCACATTTATTGACATAAGTACACTTTGTAAGTCAGTTGAAATATTCAGTTGAAAAATAGTCAAATCTATTTGGATGTGAAAAGCTATGAAAACTTCTTGGACTACATGCTTTAGGTTGGTTGGGATTTTGTTCTCATAAATTACATTATCATTTGGTGTAATTGTGTAGACATCTTTACAGATATGTAGAAAATAATAATAACTGTTAAATTCAGGAAGAATACTTACTAGAATCAAACTGTTATGTTGGTGTTTAAGAGTAGGACCTAATGTGGGTAAAGCATAACTATTCTATGCTTTTGATTACTACTAAATATTTCTACTGAGTTGTTTATTGAGAATTTCCATGCTTCGTTACTTATCTGCCCTCTTTGTCTTTTCAGGATTTAAGTGCCTTTGCCATGCCCTTGATGGATTCGGATTATACGGAAGGAGCAGGTGCTATGGAAGACGATTTTCGACAACGTTCAGGCTCAGGTGGTATCAAGTCTCTCTTTGGAACAAAACCACGACAACGTAATAAATCAGGTGATGAACTGAAAGGAGATAAAAATAGCTCACCAACATCTGGAAGTAAGATGAAAAATTTCTTTGAGAGTATTCGACCGCGCTCTAAATCAGATGTGTCTGGAATGAAAAAACCTGGAAAAAAGGCAGCAGCTGCCGCACAAAATATGGACCGATCAATGGACGAATCAACTTTAGCACCACAGTTAAATTCACATGGTGCTGTAAATTCTTCAGTCTCGCAAGGAGCAACTTCTCATGGGGCAGCAGCCGTCACACCTGTGCCGAAAGGACCGTCTAAAACATTGACACCTATGAGTGAAATATTGGAAGGTCAAATGTATAACTTTGGAGATAAAATGACAGAGAGAAATCGCCATAAATCAGGACCAGCAACTCCTGTTGAACAGTTTATGAGTAAATTTCGTAATCGGTCTAATTCGGATTCTAAGCCTAAGAAACCTACACCAACATCACCACATGAGGTATGGTTGTTTAAATTATTATTCACACCCAAATTTCAGCCTTATTTTCAACTCTCATTACAACAATGATATAAACTGCCACTTAAGATTTTGCAAAAGCATGCAGTCATTAGGATTTAATAATACTACAACCATATTCAGCATATTAGTAAATTATAGAAATCAAGTAAATTGATAAATATAATTGAGGAAACCTTGTAAATACTAAAGAAATGATGAAATTATTCTGCACCATGTCAAACTATATTATGATTGAAACTGGTATAATACCCAGAGTAATGCCTGCAGACCTAATTAAGTTGCAGGAATGAGATTTAGAGAAAGATAATCTGATCAGAATGAAGCTTAGGGCAATTACAATTGATATATCCTAAAAATAATGAATTTTGTATTTGATAAGTAGCAATGAATGTATTAATTTTATTCTGAAAGAACTTAAAACAATACTTCTAAAAATCTTAAAACAATTTCCTAAATCTACTTGACATGGACATACTTCCCATAATTTATTTTAGGCAATAGGATAGCTTAGTCAGGAGCGAGATGGATGGATGAATATAGTCATGTGTTAAGCAAGACATTTCACGTGTCATTAAGGTGTCAGTTCAAAACCTTTTCCATGTTTCAAAGTTTACCTTAGATATAATAGGCATACTTGATTCCATGACTTAAGGACCATTTTATTTTGATATTTATCATTTCAGAAAACATTGAGTCCACCTTCCAGTCCAAAACCACATCTAGACGTCAGTGGTGGTAAGTTTGCACTCAATTATTGTCTTCTACTTTACCATATATTTTCCATGTCAATTTCTGTGCTGTTTAATTTTCTGTAAAGTTTACTTACCCTCTTTTAACAGGCATGATTCACTGGTCAAATTTTATACAACTTACAGCTGGATATTTGTCCCCATTTTTTGCTTTGATTATGTTTGAGAGTGAAGGCCCTATTCTGATGCAAATATCAGTAAACTTATAGCTTGAATCTTGAACACAGAATGAAAACAAAAATGACAATCTGTAAATCATTATCCATAGCTATGAATGAAATCGCTTTGTTAGCATGATCAATTTCTCATAGATCATCCATTGTTTTCCTGTAAATTGTTATTGTGGATTTAGTGTAAATAAGTCAACTAAACCAGGGTGTTATGACCTTTGAGATTATATTATTTATATTGTCTTAGTTCTTCTACAGGCAGTATTTCATCTTGTTATTTCCTCTTCTATTGTTTCTGATTCTGTAGACCATTCCACACTAGTCAAACACAGGAGAAGAGACTTCAGAAATGAAGTCAATGATAGTGGTATACATATACATGTATATATAAAGGTGATACACAGACCTACTCATGCCATGTCTGCTTTCTAATATTGGTATATAATGACTCATCCAACCCAATATTTGGAATGTTTGACAATCTCTTTGTGGTAAATTAGTGTAAGGTTGATGCCCATTTTTCAATTTCGTTCAAGTAAAAATCAATAAGAATTTGAGTGCTCATCCAGACAGCTCATCCAGGACAATGAATTAAAACCAAGCAATTTTTCTAAAGGAAAACAACCAAAGTTTGTAAGGAACCTTCTACCAGCTGGTCTTTGACCAAACCTCTTGGCATTGATCTTATCAAAATAATTCGTACCCATTTACAAAAGGTGTACTGGAAATATATAATAGTAAGACTAGGCAGTGGTTAAGCTGATGGTACTCAATAGCAAAATTTGTACAGTTTACGAAAAAAACAGCTTTTGAAAAGTATTTGAAATTCTTCTTCTATATTTAAGGATCTTAATTTTAAACAAAGGAGAAAGAACTGGAAATCTTAATTTTCTATGGCACAAGTCTTGAAATTAATACGTGTTCTTGATGTGATTATTTGTCACGATTTATTTAATGACTTGTTGTTGTCCATGATGTTGATGAGAGAGACATCAATTTACATGTCTTATGTTAAATCTCTCTTCATCACTCTTCCAATGAACATGTTTCTGTGATGTATGAAACCACAAGATCAATCTTCAATAGAAAACTCAAAGTTGGTGAAATTACACAGACATCAAAGGAATGGAGTAATCATATAACTGACTTAAAAGATTCACTCTGTGATTTTAATCAGTTTTAAAATGAAATATTTCAACACAATCTTTTCACTCAGTTTATGTCTTATTCAATTACCTCACTGAATTTTTATCCTCTGCATATTGATTGCAGCAAGAATTCCAGCGAAATGAATTTAAATTAATCTGTTAAAGACAGAAGGATTAAGGGTTTTAAACTCGGTTCCATGTAAGTGATGCAAGTAGGAAGAAATAATGGTAGGGACTTGAAAGAGAAGATAAGATCCCTCTACAGTTTTAAATGAAAAATTCTCACTGCATGGTGTCTATTTAAACCCAATCATGAGGATAACAGTTGTATGAAAAGATTTATTTCACTTTGTTTTCATATTGGTAAGAAAATGTTCCTACTGACAGACAACTACTGAAATCAAAGTTCTTGAGCTCATATACCCAGATCCAAGGTCTTAATCCTGCTTTTATTTGGGGAATTTTTTGAACTATTTGAACAGAGTGTTAATTTTTTCAATAGGCCACAAAGGTGCAGACAAATGTATTGATCAATTTCAAAAATCTTAAACAGTTAAAAACAAAGGGATCTTCTTGGCAGATGATAAATTGCAATTTTTGTAAAATTCCTTTATTGTACTCTGTCAGCCTATTTCATATATAACATTAAATGAGGTTAATGAAACCAGTTCTGATGTGGATATGGCTTGACTATTGCAGTTCTAAATGGCTAAAGGTTATATCAGGGAAATACAAGTAATATTTCCACATCTTCTACATATAATCTGAACCCTGCTGGTATAATGATGTAGGAGTATATGACATGGGCGATTAAACGTCAATGTTAAATATTTATCTATAAATCCCTAGGAAGATATTTCTTATGCACTTAAGTGTTCTTGCACACAAATAAACATATTCCAAAAAAATATGAATTTTGAATTAAAACACTAATACATATATTATATGTATGGCAGAAAAAATGCCTCTGCAAATTTTCATTCAAATTCAAAGGTTGTAGCACAGATGGTCAGAGCTTTGGAATCATGATGCTATTTTCTTTTCTTGAAACAAATGGGGGTTGTTGGTTCTTATTTTTGTGAAATCCTGGTGACTTTGAAAAAATGATCTTTCCTCATTATTCCTGTTGACCTAGCAGTAAGATGTACCAGCTTGTAGACAAGATTCCCGATTTTTAGTTAATATTCTTGTGACATATGATATGTCTATGTAATTTTTCCACTCTTAGAAATAAATAGATGTCTGTAAATCTGTTCTGTACCTATTTCAAGAAGGTTAATGGATTGTATCTTCCTGGGTCAATATCGCTCAAACAATGAAATATTACAGTAGAAGTGGAGACACCTCCATCAATTTGATACAGCCGTTTTAATTTCTGCTTCATAAAGTTTTATAGAGTAATATGACAGTGATAAATGAGACATTTCTCCCTTTCATTCAAAATCTGATTCCCACTTTTCGGATTTATGTTTAATATCAGGCAAGGCTAAAGTCATGACCATATATACTTCAGTTGGGTCCAAGTTGAATCACAGAAGTTTTCAAAGACTGTTGTCATCAATGTCTCTTTTCTAATCTTCTTTCTGAGCTCTGATGTTCTGTAAAGACTGTAAAGGTGCTGCTCGCTCTCTTGGTCAGAGATAATTGTCACCGACTCGAATCTTGAGTAAAATTTTGTGTGTGCCCGAGTCGTGTCGCTGACGGAATTTATAATATCAAGTTTGATAATAGTGTCTCCTATAGTTTTATCTTCTGCAAGACATCTAACCAGATTCATTTTCTTTTTCAATTGCTTGCTCTTTGTGATTATTGACAAGGTGGAAAATGACCGACTGGAGCTTTTTGTCTCCTTGTGTGCTCGTGCCAGTCATTGAAACTTAAGACTCTAATTGGTGACAAAAGTCCCTGGCCATGTGCCCCCCGCCTTAAAGGGTCAGCTTCTTTTCTACTGTTCAGAATATTACCAATTCTTAAGATTTCTGTTTAAAAAGTCTGGTTACATCCTTTGTGTGAAAGACCTAAGTTGATCACCCTTTTAATGACCTAGTAGATGATACAAGAACTATTGGTGTGGTAATAGAAAAACCAGTACCAGTAAAATTGCATTGATTCTGTGTTGAATATATCAGTTTAGAATGAGAGGGACCATGAAAAAAACTATAATGGGTTTTTTTATGCTTCCTTTTGTCTGTCCACATTTTTTATATGAATGTAATGAAACATGAAATAGATCAAATAAATCAGTCAATTTTGGCTTGAAGACCTGATGGATATGAAACTTGGTATTGATGGGTATTGCTGTGATCTCAGTCAAGTTGGCAATTTTTTGAGTTATTACCTAGATTGAGTAGAAATGCTTCAAATTTGGCCAGAGATGCAGATGCAACAGTTTTTATCTGATCTTGATGAAACTTAGCTTATAAACATATTGATTATATTTTGCAGTCAAGCTTGAAATTGATCATAATCAGATGAATACCAGAGTTATTTTACTGTAAAAGAATTTGTCCAATTAGGCGTGTTGACAAGATAGAAGCTTAAGTTGTTATCCGAATTCCGAAAAAGACCTTATCATTTTTCACATCTGCCAGTGGGTGTATATAACCTTGTCTGGCAACCTATCTTTTTGTGACTTGAAACGGTCTACAAATCTATTTGACATTTAGACACAAAAAAAAAAAATTCTTTTTGGATAACATACATTTATCGTCCATCAAACTTCAATGAAGCAATAGTCAATTGGAAATAGTGGAGAATTAATCAAATGGAATTATAAATTAACAGAATAATCTCACTTTATTGTATTTTTACATTCTATTAAGATTAATGAAAGATCTATATTCAATCAAAACACCAGCCACCACAATCTAAATTCAATCAAAACACAATTTGGTTGGTAAATGGAATCAAATCTATGGTTGCACTACTTGAATAATGATAGATGAATACCCAAGGGAAATGAATATATTTCTCCATATTTTATTTTAAAACAACCTCCCACCCGGTATGGCCCATGTAATTTTGTAAACAAAATTTGTTTGCTGAACAAAGATTAAATCACCAAATATGGTTCAAATACAAAGGCTATTCAGGTAAAATTACCTTAATATGCATCTGTTCCATTCTTTTCAGAAGGTTTTGAAGTTATTAAAGGGAGGTAACAGTTATTTTCAGGTAAAGAATCAGACAACAACTAAATTATCAGACAGTTTGCTCTACTTCAGTGAAGAATGGACTCTTCCAACTTGACCTCGGAAAAATGAAATTCCTCAATCATACAATAACAACTTCCCTCTTAGTTCTAATGGAATTGTCTAAGTAGTTTCCAGACTGGTGAATTATGGGATAGCAGGAATGGCCTTGAAAGGTGAAGTGACCTCAAGGCAAAGTTGAAGTGAGCTGTGTGTTGTCTATCAATGATATTGTGAGAAGATCATAATACTCTACGTTATCAAATGAGTTTTTGTAAGTGTGTTAGCTCAGTGACTAGGCTTGTAGATCTACTATTGTCACATCATACCTGTATTTACCATACATAACCAAACATTGATTTGATATATCATTAGACTTATTCTGTTTTCCTGCAATGTTGATACCCTGCCAAGTTTTTATTTTCTATGACTAATGCTTTAGATATAGATTAACTTATTGATTTCTTGTTGTCTTTTTCCCAGTTTCATTTTCTTTTTCGCATGAAATTCAATAATGTCTCTTGCTTTTTATCAGAAAGGTCGGACAATTTTATAAATGTCATGAAAATCATGTAAAATAAATATTGACATGGCTTCTTCTAGTCATACGTTTATACAGATGCTATGGGCTACCTAATTGACATAGATTTCTTTTATGGCTTTCAGTTTGCCTACTTCAAACTCATTTCCTCTGCCGAGATCCTTGTAAATGTAATAATCCTAAACTTAACCTTATTTACTATTGTTTCCCCCTTGTATAAAAGATTTGGTTAGTGATGTTTATCTGATAATGATAATGTATTGAAATGCTATCAAGCTCTCATAATGTTTGTGCTTAAATTTTTATCTTATTAGTGCCGGGTATTGCCAATTATGCCATGACACAATACTTTATTTGATACAAGGGTCACAATTCGATATGTATTACGAAATAGGGTAAAAGGATAAAATATTAACTTTTCATGGAATAAGAAGTATCGAGTATGGCTACACAACCTCACAATACATGTAGACCTATGGATTGAAAACCAGATATGTCTCTTTAGTCTTTTATTGTCATATGGTCAAGTTAGGTGATATTGTCAAGTTAGGT